ATATTTCCCTAATCAGCTGTCTCTGTCTTGCTGAACTGGAAACACAGAGTGCATTTATTGACTCCCAGCTCTCTGAGCTGGTTATTATAAATCTCTGTCCTTTGGAGGTCACTGCCCCTCACTTATGAGAACCTGATCTTGCCGATTCCCAGAACTGCTCTGCAGCTATCGATCTGTGCGCTGACTTGACAAACCCGAGTGAAACACGGAGCTAAAATTTCATCTAAGTGTGAGCTAGCTCCCTGAATTCCCTTTCTGGAAGATAGATTGGCTGGGCAGAGGGTAGCCCAAAGAATACTGGATAAATGTAAAATCCTTGGGAGTCCTGCAGATTGAGATAGCAAATAAAAGCAAGCTACTGGTGTCAGTCATTAGAAACAGTGGGTGTTGCAGCAGGGTGCAGCCCATACCTACATTTTACCTCCAGAAGGTATAAATGCTGCCCTGATGAGGTACCCAACTCTTCAGGAGGTGCAGTGTGGAAGGGCTTCTCCATACCATGTAACTCTTGCCCTCACTGCAGCCTTCATCAAGGCCCATGTGAGTGGCTGTGTCCTGCACTGGGTGCCCTGTGCTGCCCTGACTGTGCCACCAGCAGCCTGGTAGTGCCACTGCTCACGACAGTGGTGAAGTTCAGCGAAAAGCTATTTATAAACATGGTGCTTGGCTCAGTGGCCAGGGCCAGTGTGGAGTGTGGGTGATACTCGCTGCAGCTGCAGAGAACTGCTGCCCTGACACCAGGAGCAGCTGGAGGTTGATTTCAGATTTCGGTATGATCTTTCAGTCCAGGTTGTGGGGATCTCAGGGTAGTGAAGTGTTCACTTCTTTAACGCTACCAAGTCAGGACCAAACACCCATCCCTGAACTCTGGATCTGCTACCCAAAGTGGCAAGCTGGTGCCAAGGAGATGAGTAAAGCAAGTGCAGAAGGTAAGGGAGGACAAGCCAGGGGCTAAATGAAGGTGCACTGGCCAAAGATGTAGACCAATTTATTAATTATAGTATTTTTACACTCATAAATAGTATAGGCAGCTTATACCAATGGAAGGGATCCTCTTCCCCTTCACTTCTAGGACACCAGAGGGAGTGTGCTTGCCGGGTGGGAGCAGGGCAAGGCAGGAGCTGCTGAGTCTATGGACCACACAGGGCAGGCAAAGGCATCGGGAGTACCTGACCTTTCTCCTCAGTCAGGGAGAGCTGCCTTTCCTGGCCTGCGTGCCCAGGGACAAGGCTGGGAGGGTTGACATTAGCCATGCAGGGCAGAGTCGTTGGGGTAGATCAGGCTTTGAGTCAATACACAGAATTTCCTCCACAAGCATCACATTGGCAGCGTTGGTGATGCTCTCTATTCAGCAGCTGGAACATCAATCTGAAGCAGTAGGAAACAGGCTTTTTCCATATGGGTGCACTGTACTGCCCCTTGTCTAACTGGGCTGGTAATAAAAAAAGTGAGGCATCTCCCAATGAGGATGTGGTGCCCATTGTAAACGTTACTACTGTGGACTAGTCAGTCAGGTTGCATGTGCTGCATTGGTCTGCAGAGAGAGCTGCCTTTCCAACACATCAGGATTTCCTTCAAACATGTGAGCATCTGATCCATGACCCTGCTGTGTTGCAGCCATCCTGGGAAGAAGGCAAGGCTGGCCTTGCAGAGGTGAGTGCACGTGAGGCAGAGCCACCCCTTGCTGAGGGCAGGCTGTACAGCGGCTCAGTGCGTGTTGTTCAGGACATGTCCTGGAGGAATGGAGTCAGCAGCAGCTTTGCAGCATCCTCATATCTGAAAAAAGCCCAGTATTTCCTCCCTTGCCAAAGAGAGTAACTGTGGCAGGCTCATTTGTCCCAGCTGGAGGCAGCAACTACCTGATGTGCTGCTGAGAAGTTGTCTGCAATGCTGAGGATGAGTAGCATCCTGACAAACGTGAGGGTCTAATCACAAGCACCCAAGAGCCCTGTCAGGTGATTATCCATGTGTGCACCTGAACACTTTTCCTGACCAAAACAGGTATTTGTAGTTTAGTGCCACCCTATGCTGGCCTGGAAAAATGCTTATTCTGATTGAATCCTAACCAGATATCTCTTTATATACACAAGCGAGGCTGTCGATGTGCTCCCAGCAATCCTAGTACGTGTAGCCCTTGCTGTAAAGCTGTGAAGGGAGGCTCCCAAGGTCCGGCAGGTAAGTGACATTCTCATCCAGGTGAGAAAGAGGCACTGTGTCTTCCTCACTGATTTGCCGCTCAAACTCTGCCTTCAGAGTTGGCCGCTGATTATCAGGGAAGGCCAGGGAGAACAAGGCTTCGGGCTCACACACAAACTTGTACACGTAGCGCTCGCCAGCCACCTGCGGGGAAGAGAGGAGATGAACACTGCAGGCACGCAGGCAGCACTCGTGGTGCTCCCCAGCGGCGGAGGTGGCTTGCAAAAAACATCTGGCTGCTCTAGCCTGCTGCCCTGAGACATGTCAGAGTTGTAAACTTCTCCTTGTGCTGCCCTCCTGCTCCTCTGCTGTTCTGGTCTCCCCTGGAACAGCTCCTGGGATGGAGGATGCTGCAGCTGGCTGCCCAGGTAGCAACAGCACCAACAGCCCCTGACCACTCTGTGCTGCGATGTAATTACAGTCACAGTTGTCTTCTCCAGTGCCCTGGGTCTGGAAGAGACCATCCCCATCCACATAGGCTCAATCCCTGGACAGCCTTTCTCTTACCAACAGCATGCCCAGGCTGACTGTATGTCTTTGCAACTGCATAAATTCCAACTCTCCTGACTGCAGACATACACAGAAAAAGAAATAAATCATTACTCCCCTTTGGTTTATTTCCCATGTGTTACTTAGATTCAGCTCCTTTACACGTTCCTCATATAACTGCTGCAACGAGAAGACTAAGGAAAACTCAGGATGCCAGCCCAGCTCAACTGCGTTCTGTACCTGTAAGACTTCTTGTCTCAAATAAGAGAAGCATCAAGACACGCAGAGAAATGCCATCTGCTTTGCAAACTGACCTTCTGCATGATGCCTTTCTCATAATAGTAGCGAAGGGATCGGCTCAGCTTGTCATAGTTCATGGCTGGACGGTTCTTCTGGATACCCCACAGCCTGGCTACCTGTAGAAAATGGCATCAAAGAGCATGAATGTCTGTGAACCCAACCCAAGGGCAAAAGAATATTATCCAGCTGATTCTCTTTTGAGGAATGATGCCACAGCACATACAAACATTTACATTTAAATAATAGACTCAAACAATTATTATTTAGCCACTTTTCAGCAAGAAGAGTAGAAAGGGCACCCTGTATCACAGAGTGGCATTCTCCTTGCCACTACAGAGCTAATTTCACTCTCCAGTACATTGAAAGCTTGAGGATGAGCTAAAAGACTGCTTAATCCTGTCCTATGTTTTATCTTCATGGAACACATGTTTACCAGGAGCCCAAATATGAGGGAACACCTCCATTAGAAGACCCATGTGTCTTTCTTCCTACATGATTTTCAGCTTTGTCCGTGAGACTCAGAAGTCTGTTGTAAGCGTTTCAGCCCACCAAAACAGCTCATCTGCACTGAAAGTGCCCGTAAAGGTTGGTATTAGCAAGAACTGTGCTAAATGCAGTTCTAGGTGGAGAAATGTATGAACAGCTATTACAGACATCTCACAGATGTCAGATATCACTGGGTGATGCAGCGGCTACTTCCCCTGAGCCTGTAGAGAAGATAAATGGTTTCACCTCTTCTGGCTCTATGAGCTTGAACTCCATCCCTCGGCCAGTCCAGGCAATGAAGTGAGAATTGGTTGGATCGTCCAATAAAGCCACAAGAAATTGCCAGAGCTGGAGAGATCCCCGTCTCTGGTACGGAGGTCCTTCCCTGTACCCTCCAGCTTCCTGCTTGATGTCTCCTGCTCAGAAGAACAAACAAGGTGTCTCTAAGGGTAACAGTGCAAAAACAGGTTTTAAAAAAGCACATTTCACAGATGTTTACCTGGAATATTTCAATTCACGTAAAACAGAGCGGCCAATTCACCAGCTGCTCTTCCAAGAGGAGCTCTGATGAACCTTGCAATTGAGCTACTTATGCTATAAGGCCTGTTTGCTGCTAAAAAAGGTCAAGAAATAGGAGACCAAAAAGTCCGGTACGAACAACAGCTAGCACGCCTGCAAGAGCAGCGTAATGAACTACGTAGAGAGTGGTCAAGTGGCTAGCAAAGATGCTGGATAACCCCATCTTACACCCAAAATGAGAGCCATTCTTTCTCCAACCTTCAATTTTTTCTGGAACAACACAGACATCCTCAGTAAAGGACCTCATCTGCTTGTCATAGCTGCAGCCTGAAAGATAAAGCAACACAGGCAGTAATCGACAAATACAGGGTGGTACTTGAGGGCAATGCAGTGCAGGGAAAAGACGTCACTGGATTTCTTACCTAATGTGTCTTCTGTATTTGGATGGCCTGGATAACTCTCAGCATTTATGTGCATGGAAAGACAGCCAGGAACATCTACAGAACAATTAGCAAACTCAGTTAATTAAACAGCACAGGAGGCAGAATGATCTTGCTCTCCAGAGGTGGACAGGTAAGTGCAGCTCTCTAACCAACATCCTCATAACCAATATATAGGAGGTCCTAAACCCTCCTACAGGGTTAGTGGCAGATGGGAACTTCTTATGTCTCAGCCATCTCACCACAACCTCGTCTTCATGATGTTTCCAGTCATGAATCACACTAACAAATTTTTGTGGTACTATTGCCTGACATCCTTCCGCATAGCCAGTCACTTACACACCACTAATACAAAATCTTGGATAACAGGCTAAATTTGTGTCATCTCTCCCTCATCTTAGTTTAAGATAACTATGTACTCTGCTACTTCTTTCACAGGTGAGAAGGCATTAACATTTTTCCAGGAGTACTATGATGATGTTAATGGAGAGCAGCAGCACGTGAATGTTTACTAACAGTGTGTCACAAATGTAATTTTAGATTTCTTAAGTCTCTGGCTTTTTCACATCTTGACGGGGCATTCTCACAAACAGCTGAGAAAACATAAAGGATAAAACAGCCTGAGTTTGAAAACAAGCAGGAAGTCTCTTCATGATCTCTGTGCAGCGGATATTGTTGCCTGGGCACTGCAATTTATATCTTCTGTATTTTGTTTTCTGAAACCTGTATTTTCTGAATCAAACCTGTTTTCCATCTACAGCTGAAGTGGAAGTTGTAACTGGGAGCTTTGGAAAGATTTACCTTGTTTCCCTCATACTCCTGTGCATAGCCACTGCTTTCAGCAGACGTTTTGCTGATGCTAAGGGTGGAAGAATACTCTGAGCTGACAGACTGTGTATTATTACAACCGTAAACTACTGTCACAAAAAGCATTCTTCTGGGTTTGCACATTTTCTTCCCCTGTCTGGACAGAAGGACCCACTGAAAGTGTAATATCAGCTCAGCCACAGTGGTGGATTCTGTGCCCTCACAGGAGCTTTTTATTTATGTAATTATTTCCGCTAAAGGAAACAACTCAAAATGTCTATTAAAATACCAGGAAACTAGAAGTAACATTGCCTCTAGAAAAGGGTGTTGTGCTGTCAGGGTAGCAAAGTCTTTGGACAGGTCTGCTGAAAAAGTGAGATTTACCACTTGTGGAAGAATAGGATTACCTCTCTAGAGAGCTATTTTTGGAATTATAAACTTTTTCTCTTGTGACTCTCTGAAATCTCTGCTCTCTGTGTTCTTTTTCTGTGGGAAGTGGCTGGTAGAGGCTGACACTGCAAGAGACACAGAGCAGCACACTTGCACTTGGCCGAGTCAACCTAGACTCTGTGCTTATACCTGTCCCTAGAATTGGCCAGTTTATTGTCAGCCACCCAAGCCTCTTTAGACTGTTTCAGCTTTAGACTTAGATGCGTTTGTCAGACTAAAGCTGGTTTATTTTGCGTGGTAAGCTCCAAGTGAGTTGGCAGCTCTCTCTGTGACCAGCTGCAGTGAGTTTCCTGCGGGTGTCAGCTGCCAGAGACCAAGGGGCTGGGAGATCTGCGTCTCTGCCTCAGTTTTGTGAATGGAATTATTCTGCCTCCAGTCAGGAGAAAACATGTGAGACCAGGCAGTGTCATGAGTTGCAGCTCAGGGCTGTGCATTGCAACCCCTGAATCAAGCTGTTTTCATCTACAGGGCTTGAAGGCCCCCTCTTGTTGCAGGAATCCAAGAGTTTTTCTGTAAAAGCTCCAAGATATTTGATTCCTTCCTTTCTGCCATCGTTCACACATTTTCAGTATAATTTTTTCAAAGCCGACCTTACTCCTCTCCCTGTCTACAACCCACCAGCTTGCACATCCCCCAGAACACAAAAACTCTGTGAGACTGGGAATGTCTGTTTCTCCATTTCTGGTGGTGTGAGTGAGCTAATCATGAATTTTGAGAGTCTCCCCAGTGGCTACTTATTCCCTTGGAAAAAGAAATGCATGCCTTTGATCTAGTTTGAATTGGTTTAACATCACCTTACACTGCTTTCTACTGTCTACCAGAAAGTCCTCAGAATATGGTAAGGAAAGCGGATGTCCCAGCCTCCTCTTGGATGCAGTAAGCAGACAGATCTGTTTGCATTTCCTGCTGCACAGCGTTTTCCAGACACCACACGCTCCCGAAGATGAAGCAGTGCTGTTCCAAAGCCCACCAGTGATGGTTGTTCACTCCCACTGATGTCTGGTTTATGCAGTCAGAAGGAGCTGGTTCTGCCCACCTGAGTCATACACGTAGTCCACCTGCTCCTGCTTGACCACCACAGCTGCTGGATACTGATGGCTGCTGCCCACTGGGCTCGCCTGCTCATACTGCAGGTCGTGGTACTCCTGTTTGAAGCTCTGGTGAGTGAGCTGGAGACAAGTCTTGGGCATCTGGCGCTGGTAGGCAATGGTGTCTTCCTGGGCCATGCTCTGGGAGGAGGACAGGGAACGGCACATCTCCACAGGTGGCTGGTATGCAGAGCTAGGAGAGGGGAGAGGACATGGGCTGGATGCTGTCTTGGCCCTGGCTGAGGGATAGAGACTTCCTTGGCCTCAGCCTGTTACTGGGGCTGCAGGAGATGCACCAGAGCTGGGGCAAGGAAGGGACCCCAATGAAAGACATTTCCAAGGGCAGCTACACAGCCCATCGTTCACAAAGTCTGACAGGGTTAAGGTTATAGACTTCTTCAACCCTAGGCAGCAGTGGTAAGTCCCAGGTATTCTGGGGCAGGAAGCAGGAGGTGGGTGTCCTGTGACTGCTGGAAACTGAGCACTTTAATCTGGATGCTGCAGCCCCTCCTCCCTGAATTGCCAAGGAGGGCAATGCTTCTTGCCAGTGCCTGCCTCCTCCAGGCAGTAACTCACCTGTTTTTGTTGAGGTATCCACAGCTGGATGTGGGGTGGGGTGGCCCCGTAGGGGTCAGGAAGCTCCTGTCCTGTCTAGGGAGCTGTTGGAGTGGTGACTGTGTCAGGGCTCCTGGGTTGGGGGACTTGATTCCAACTTGTCTGGGTTGATCATAGGCACTGGGACGGTCAAACAGAGATTGGGGTTACAGTCTGGGGAGGACTCCTGGCAGCACCTGGGGAGAACGTGTCACAGCAGATACGCTGTCCCGCCATGCAGCCACCTAGGCCAGAAAACTCCCAGCATAAACTCCTTCCTTTCTGATTATTGCCTGCCCCCATGCACTATAGCAATAACCTTCCAAGCAGAGAAACTGGAGAAGGTGCCTGTAGTGGAGGAGCTGTACTGTAACTCAGGCAAGTAGCTGAGACTGTGGACAATGGTGTTGAGGATCTTCTTATGGGACAGATTTTGGAAAGCAATGGGGGGAGAAAGGCACATGATGGATGTCAAGACTGCTCTCAGCATCAGGGCAGCTGAGGAGCAGCACTAGAGGGAAGAAAAAGAGGCAAGCACAGACCTACACTACACAGGTCTGAGTGGGCTGCCATGACCCGACCCCCAGTTAATCTGTACTGCAGCAGGCGTGCCCTGCCCTCACCCAGCAGACAGATTGGGTTGCTGGCATAGTGCTGCGTTATTGGATAGTGCAGTAGCACTTGATTTTGTTACCGCTCTTGTCCCTCTCCTGTGTGAGCTGCGATACCTGGCGTAAAGGCACTGCTCGCCATTGTGGTACTGGAATGACTGCTTATGGTTGCAGGACAGCGTGGGGTCCGAGGAGGGACTCTGAGGCTCCTTTTTAATCTTAGCAGAAGGACTGTGAAAAGCTACTGTGGGAGAGAAACAAAAGATCAAGTCGACACTTTTGTTGTTTATGGAGAAGTACTTTTATCAGCCAGTAAAAAGTCAGTTATGATGCCACCACCTTGACCTAGTTCTGCAGGCTCTGAGAGAAACAACATACTGATATGCACAACTGTTCAGTGGACTTTCCTGAGCTCTGCCCTTGGTTTAGTAAGGTTTGTACGATACATCAACCTTAAAAGACCAGATCTAAGGTAGTGTTAAGGTACTTTGTGACAATCCAGAGCACTTCAAAAAGGATTTAGAGTGGTCATTTCCTAAGCTGTTCGGGGCTGAGACAGACATTTTCTGTTATGTCGTAAGGGGTAGCATGCACATACTCTATTTTTCAACACAGGAAAGTAAAGTTTTGATTTGCATAATGCAGAATTCTTTCATTGACGTACCCAGTAAGCTTGTCCTGTGAGTAGTGTTAACATGTAGCACTGCATTGAATTATAACACACTAATATTATAACACATTGTAGACTGTCTGATAGTATCATTTGTCCAGCAGGACAAGAAATGTAAGGTTTTTGTAGACACAGCTACAAGAGCTGAAGGTTTTCTGTTGGAAAATACTATTATATGTATTGCATACTGTTACATACCAGGCTAACCTGCTCACAGACACCTTACACAAAGTAGTGCTTTTGGATGCAGCTAACCAATTTAGATCCCTTTTCCAAAGGAACAGAGCAAGCAGGCTCACAGGCATGTCTCTTCAGGGATACTATGCCCTGGCAGGCAGCAGACAGGGCCATCATCTCACAGAGGCCATGCTGGCAGCTGATGCTCAGCCAGAGGCCATACAGGTGGGCAGAGCCCCAGAAAAGCACCTGCAGGAGATACAGCACCCGTAATTCCATGTACAGTCCAATTTCTCTTGCTTGGGAGGAGTAATAGCACAGATTTTACTTTTGATCATCACAGTAATGCATTTTCTCAGTTGTTCAGTGGTGCCTAATCATTCACACATACAGCAACCAAAATACACATCTGTTGAAACCACTCTGCATAAGGGACTGTGGTAGTTACCACCACACAAATGTACTTTTGCATTGTCCAGAAGTGGACAGTCAGCTTGTTCTTTCATCACCATCACAATATAGAAATGAAATGAGTACTTTAACCTCCATATCTTTATGTTGCATTCAGGTATTTGTTTGATTTAAGTGTATCCTGCCCTGCTCCCCTGGGATGTGTGGTTTCTCCCATGCTACTTACAGTTTTCTGAATGAAAGTCAGGCACAAATTGCTCATCACTGTCTGGAACCTGAGCTGCCAGGGAGGAGGGGAGAGAGAGAGAGAATTAGATTTGGCACTTTGTGCGGTGTAATTAACAGTAAGGCAGAAATAAGTCTATGCAGGAAAGACCTGAGCTTTCTGCTGCAATGCACTTTAGTGACTAAGGAAAGTTTCCCTTTGGGATTACTGAATACATTTTTGCCTGCAGATTTACCCCTTAACAGTCTGCCAGTTTCTTTTTCCCTTACCTTGGAAATAAGGACAACAGCAAGTTTGTGAGCTCACAGCTTTCATTAGAAACGTAACACGCAGGGGTTTTTAAGCCTTTGGCATAGGAAAAACAACTACCAACTGATAGATTTGGAAAGGCTATGCCAAACTGACAAGCAAACAGGAAACATCTATGCCTTCATTGACAGATATTTCAGTAGCTCCAGAAGCAGTGGATAGCTTGGCACTAGTGGAATACGCTACAATTCACAAATCAGCAAAAGAACACTTCAGAAGTAAAAAATAAAATTATCTAGTAGTAAGAGAGGGAAATTATTAATAGCATCTTGCAGGTATGTGTGATTTTGTACATAGGAAATGTAAGAGGAAGTGCTGGTGTAGTCATAGGGAACCTGACAGCAAACAGCTGCTCTTTTCCAACAAATCACTGCAGTAAAGCTTATTTCTAGGCATCTGGCCTGTGGACAGCATTGTTAGTACAGCTCCAAGAATAACAGCAAGGTCTGCAATATTTGAATACTGATGTTTTGAATATTTCAAGGATTGTGGTGAATTTGGTTCTGACAAAGAACTAAGCTTTTGGGTGCGCTCTGGGAGAAACTGTGAGAAGAACCTTAACAATAGCAAATGTAGTGAAATATTCTAACATGACTTCTAACAATTACTCTTATGTCCTTTTTACTACAGGGAAGGAAGAACTTGTAGCAGATTGTCATCTCACAAAATCTCCCACAGACTATTTCCAAAAGAAATGCTGTTGCTAGTGCATTACAGACAAACCTAGAGTTTTGTTATTGCAGAGTGGGCAGGAGATTGCACTTGCTCGGCTCTAAAAGCAAAGGTGATGTAGTCAAAGTAAAGGGATGGGAGGAATGGAAGCCCACTAATCTCAGTCACTTGAAGCTAAACTAGACAAGACATGCCAAAAATAAACCGTGGGGAATAACACTGCATTAACAGCAGGCAGTCGAATGGAATGGAACTGGCCAAGCTCTTTGCACTGTAATCACTGTTCCTTAAAATAACCTATATGACAACAAGCTGGAAATATAAACGATAAAAGGTGGAGAACAGGAAAAAAACCCACAAATACAAAATTCATTTTATGAACTATATTTAAAAAGTGACATTATAGGAGAAGAAGAAATTGAGATCACATTAAAACTAGTTTCACTTGGAATGAACAGGATTGCCTGGCATTTGAAGTTTTCTCTTCCTTAAAGTAAAAAGGCAAAACTGAGCAGTGTTTAAAGTCCAGGAAGGTCCCTTCAATGGATTATCTTAAAAGAAACAAACAAACAAACAAAAACTGACAAAACTTGAGAGAAACACTTTGTTTCCTAATTTAAAAGAATAGTTTATGGTTTGTTTCAGAAAATAGCAGCGTTCTGGCAACCAACAAAGTGACAAATCAGCATAAAATCGAACCAGCTACAAGTAGCCTGAAACGAAAATTGTAACCAGGAACGCGGGCTAACCGCCAAGTTCCATTCATAAGCAAATACCCAGCACAATAGTGCGATTCATGCGTCTTCATTTACACAAGCCAGAGGTTGGCAAGTCTGAAAAAAATATCTAACGTTTGGAGCTAGGCAAACAAAGCAAAGGAGCAGCACAACCATCAAAAGACAAACAACCGAAAGAGGATCAAAATAAAACAAAGCGAAGGGCAGGAGCCTACCTTCCGTCAGCCAAGTCTCCTGGAGCTGGCTCAAGTCCTGGAAGAGGTCTGCACAGAGGAGCGAGAGGCTCCTTCAGTAAGGGCACAGCGGGATGCTCCTGCCACGGCGATGCGGGCGGAACGAGGCGGGAGCGAAGGCGCAGGGCGAGGACCCGGTCCCTGCCCAGGAGTCTTCGCCATCTCCATCCCCCCTTACAGCTCCCCATCCCCTCACCTTCCGCATCCTGCGCCGGCGGCAAGTCCGGGTCCCCGGGTCTCTTCCTAGCGCCC